CTGAGCTACTCCAACTATTGGAATTGTCGGAGTCTGATATCCGTGAGCCACCTGCTCTAGAGTGTGGGTAGCGGGAGTTTGGGCTCCTCTTCCAGCTTGAGAAACAGCTGGTGCTATAGAAAATACACCGGTCTAGGCCACACTCTCCATAAGGCCCACTAAGTGGACTAGAGCGTCCTGAAGTATGGGGGTGGCAATGAACCCCACTAGGACCTGAGTTGGTCCAACTGGCACAGGTGGAGTAGGGATCTCCTCCTCTTGCTCAATCTAAGGCTCTGTAATAGGTGATTCTGCATGGGCTCTAGACTGAGCTCTGCCTCTGCCTCTGGCCCTACCTTGGCCTTGACCTCTACCCCTGGTTACCCCTGGTAGTGGCAAAACTTGGGGCTCCAACTCCTGACCAGTTGTGGATGTTGTGCGTGTCCTCACCATCTGTGAAAGAATAAGAATGGAATGATTCAAACATCAGTAATAGAATAAAGTCGCACGATAAAGAAAGAAGTGACACTTACTAAAGCTTTATAACCTCTAATTGTGAACGTTTAAAGGCTATAGAAAAAGGTGTTCTTAAAGGTTGAAGCTTATTTTGGAGAAGGTAACTATCCTGGCTAACCTCGACTTGACGGAATTTTTCCTAAAATGGACTTATGTTCTACTTGCTACATGTTTGGGGTGACGTATACACGAGATGACGAGTATATATACGGATACATAGATAGTTTTATGCTTGGGGGTAGATTTTAGGCTTCTTTATACCTTGTTTAAAAACATGTTTTACTTGTGACATGCTTTACTTATTTGTAGGACAACTTGATCATTCTTATTCATGCTAGAAATCATGTCTAGGATTTTGATGTTTTTCATTTGAACATGATGGGCTATATTTATGTCAGATTATATATTATAGTAGTAGTCATACATAATACACATGCGTAGATCCATGTATATTTATCTCTCTTGTCCATATGCATCATATATACTTATCTTTTGTACATATGGATATATCTTTGCATATGGTTCTCCTATATGGATTGAGGATATTGTACAATGGAATATTTCGTGCAGTTGCCATGATTATAGAACGACAGTTTGTTTAGTTCGTATTAATGACTGATTACAGAGATATTGACATTTGAATGAATTTTAATCTATTCCTCTAGAGTCACGTAATTACCCATACTACTATAACGATCCGATCGGTCGTTTTGAGCTTTAGAATTACGGCCAGTGGTTCGAGGTATTGAGTGGATTCATATTGTGTTTTATGACTTTTGTGTTTGGTCAGATTCGATTATTGAATATTTTGAGATTTATTTGGATGAGTGGTTCTCATTTTAGGAGTTTAAGTTGGAAATATCGACCGAGGTTTGATTTTTGTGAAAACGACCCCGGAACGGTATTTTTATGGCTCTGATAGGTTCGTATTGTAATTTTGGATTGAGCGTATGCCCGAAAATGAATTTGAAGGTCCCTAAACTAATTTGGCATATTTGCCGAAAGTTGGCAATTTGAAGGTTTAGAAATTCCTTAGGTTTGTCTATGGTTTGACTTTATGGCTTTCGGGTTCGTTTTTTGGTTTTGGGACTTGAAATAGGTCCATTTGCTATTTTGAACTTGTTTGCAAAGTTTGGCGTCATTCCGAGTTGATTTGATTGGAATCGGAGTCGTAGTTGTGTTTTTAGAAGTTCTTGAGTTTCTTTGTTAATTTCATGTGTTTTGATGTCCAATTCGTGGTTCCAGATGTCATTTTGATATTTTTATCATGCGAGCGAGTTCATATGATGAAATTAGACTTGTGTAGAGGTTTGGTGCGGAGCCCCGAGGGTTCGTGTGATTTTCGGACGCGTTCCAGAGAGTTTGTAGAAGATTCAGAGTTGCTTGTGTTTCTGATCTCGCATTTGCGAGAAAAGGGCCGCATTTGCAACAATCACTTTTGTGAACAAGTATCCGCATTTGCGTAGAATTTAGGGACTGGCATGCGAAGCCAGCCTCGCATTTACAATGGTGGCCTGGGCTGTGGGGAGGTCGCTTTTGCGAAAGGCCACTTTTCGCATTTGCGACATATATATTCGCATTTGCGATGTGTGTAGAACTATCCAAGCTTCGCTTTTGCGAAGTAATCTCCGCTTTAGTGAGGGCTCGCATTTGCGTACCCGAAGTCGCAAATGCGACATCTACACCTAGTTATATGTTTTGTGAGACGGGATTTTGGTCTCATTTTTCACATCTTTGAACCATAGACTCGATAGGAGGCGATTTAGAGATGGGTTTTTCATCTACAATCATTGGGCAAGTGATTTTGATCAATTTCTAACTATATTACATGATTATATATGAGATTTAACATAAAAATTTAGAGAATCAAAGTGAGATTTTGGAAAATTTTGTCTATGTTTTGAAAAATAAAAATTTGGGATTTGAGAGTCGAATTGGACTCGAATTTTGAAATAAAATACATATATAGAATCGTGGGGTTATGGATAGTCAGAATCTACCCTTGGACCCGAGTTTTGACCGGACAGGCCTGGGGTTGACTTTTGAAGAATTTTGTAAAGATCATGGCTTTATTAATTGTAATTGGTTTCTCTTGCATTGGTTGATGTTATTAAGTCATTTTTGGTTAGATTTGAGCCGTGTGGAGGCAAATTTTTAAAAAAAAAAGCTATCTTTGAGTGTTGATTTGGCCTAGTTGAGGTAAGTATCTTGCCTAACTTTGTGTAGGGGAACCTACCTCTTAGGGATTGGTTTGATTGTACTATTTGAATTATGTGGAGGACATGTACATGAGGTGACGAGTGTGTACACGACCTTATATGTGAAAACTTGACCGATTTAGACCCTTAGGCTTCTTATGTACATTTAATTGAAGTTTCCCTATCATGTTATATCCTCCATTATTAAATTTACCCTTAAATGCTTTATTTGAAGTCGTTAGTTCATGTTCTATCTTTTATTGCCAAATATACTCTTATATGCTTCAATTGAAGTTGTTGCCTCTTTTATTGTCATGTTATCTCTTTCATAGTTGAGTTATTCTCATTTGAAGTCATTGTTACATGCTATCTCTTCCATTGTTGATTTATTCTTATTTGAAGTCGATGTTACATGTTAAGTCTTTCATTATTGAGTTTATTCTTCTGTTTCATTGTGTTGTGGTAATTCTTATGTTGATTTACTTGCCGTACTCCTGTGTTATTGTCGTTGTTGTTATACTTAGTGTTTTTGAGCCATGGGCTATGTGTGGCTGTGGCATTGGAATTGTTGTGTGTTGTGGCATATGAGCACACGTTGTGCGAGTTGTTATATTGTGTTGTTATGTTTTCTTTCGGCACATGTGGAATTGTTGAGAGGATTGTCGGGTGTTTGCACATGAGTTGTCCGTGCTATTGTTATTATTGATATTTGATGATTGATTAATTCTTGAAATTTTGGCCAAAATAGTATCTGATATACTATATTAATTTTAGGTTTAGTTGTGATTGTGCTTTATGTTGGACTCCAATTGAATAAGTCCTTATTTATTTTCACTTTGTAGCATATTAAAAATAGAAATAAAGACATATAGTGTTGTATTTCTTAAAGATCATCTTATATTACATATAAAAGATTACACAAAATGAAATTTCGCAAATAAAAAATCAAATTGGCCAGCAATTACATTCTTTAATTCCAGATGATCATAAAGAAGGTTTAAGAGATTCAACTTTATTCTCTACAAGGTGTTGAGTTTATTAAGAAGATCCAAATTGGTATTCTTTCAACAATATGTTTAAGACATGAAAGAAGACTAAAACAAGAAAGAAAATAAATCATTTCAGAGGAAACAAGAGAGAGAAATCTTTCCAGATGAAACCCATATAGATAACTGAAGGAAAAAGGTCAAAAAAAATGAAGAAGGTGAAAAATAAATAAGAAAGGTGAAAAAATAAGAAAGAATGGTGAACAAATGAGGAAGAAATGAGGATATAACTTAAATAAGGAGAATATTTATTAAAAAACAAATTTGAAAGAGGGTTAGGCTAATTAGCCATTATTTTCTGTTAGGTGGGCCATTTTCTGTTAGGTGGGCCATTTTGATGGCTTTTTTCAGCTGTCACGCGCTCCCAAGCAAGTATTTACACACGTTTATGCCGGGTCAGCAACGAGGGAATTTTAATAAGAACAATATAGTTCTGGGGATTCTGGGAACACCGAATAGTTTAAGTAGGAAACTAACAAAAATATTAGTTTAAGGGATTTTAGGGTATTAACTCATTTTACCCATTGATTTGGAGTACGAAACTTGATAAGAGTTGTCCTCCATTAAATAAAGCTTCAAAGTTTCGAATTCAAAAATCGGGTTTTCAAAATTGGATTCAATTTTGATTGGGTGCTGCGGTAAATAATTAAAAATACTTTAAGGAGCTTATATCTATTTTCGTGCAATTTGGTGAAAATATCGAACAAAGTAGGATTTTTCGTCATGTATCAAAGGACGAACTTGCTACAGTTTGACTGAATTGTATATATTTTGTGACAAAAGTATAGCTACTTCTAAAAATTAAAAAAACCTAGCGAATACGGGGTAAATGAGATAAGTCTATAATTTTGTATATATACGAAGAAAAATCCCCAAAAGAAATATACCTCATTGAACACATGCTTAACCAAAAGGTGAAAGAACTTTTTTTCTTCATTCGGTTTGCAAGCCCATTCAAAAACATTACATTGTGTAAAACATGACAAGCCATACTTGTGTGAGGGTTTAGTATTCACCTTTCACCGTCACTCTCTCCCCACTCCCTTGCAGTACACTCCCCAAGCCAATGGACGGCCAAGTTTCTGAAATGCTGAAAGTACTTGTATCAACAATAACTTTCATTACACATTGTGTGGTAAGCTGCAAACTCAAGCTAACATAGCTTTGAAGAAATTTTTTGGACTACTGAAATATTAGATGAATTATGATTTTACTATTGAAACTCCAAAAACCATTTCAACAAAATTTTCGATGCATGATGTATGGAAAAGCCTTCAATACCTTTCTTCTTTTCCATTTCACTTCCAAGGAGCAAAAATTAACTACAAACTGTTAGTCTTCATCTTATCCTCTTTAAAATGGTTCCGAAGACAACAGTCAGGAATACAAGCATCACCCACTTTTCCCATTCCCGTCCATATGTTCCCCAAGACAATAGGCAAACATAAAAATCAGAATATGAATGTAGGAAAAAAAAATTACACCATCATGCTAACTACTACTACATAAGAAACCAAGCTCTCTGGGAAGGATGACATACCCAAAAGTCCTTCAGAACTGATCATGACAGCTCTGTTATCACCCGTTCACATTTTTCTTCCAAAATCTTCACAGCTTCAGTAAACAGCACCTCAGGTGGCAATGCTCCAGTTGACTCTATAGTAACTAGAGAGATTCACGAGAAATAACATAAGTTATCTGAATATCAAGCTATTTGATCGGATGAATTAGCCCCGAACGGTAAAACATTTATCACCAAGAAGCCCAGAATTGTCTTCATCCAGCAATTGAAAAAATAAGCACAAATTGCTCTCATGTTACAACCAACCTAAAGGACAAGAATCTGTTTCATCTTGAACTTCAAAATATGTACAACATTCTAACATATTACACTCAACCAAACACTTTGAAATGCAGAATGAAATGCAGAATTTCGAAGTGGTGAGTAAGTTGCAATTATATTCTCAATACCCTAAAATCTCTGTGCACTAGAAGTTAAATATCACAGACTGAAACAAAATTAATCTGCTAGAAGCAAAGGCAAAAAGGGTAGCACAATGCACAAAGCATCCCAAATTCACGTAGGGTCCGGGGAAGGGCCGCACCCCTAGGTGTGTGATGTAGACAGCCTGCCCTACTGCAAGCATTAGTGGCTGCTTCCACGGCTTGAACCGAGACCTATAGGTCACAGGAGACAACTTTATCGTTGCTCCCCGAAGAAACTGAAAAATACTACTAATATTTCCTACCACTATTTTCTTTGACAAAGTGTGTGTCTATATATATATAT